ATCATTACTACCTGTTCATACAGATTTGTTTATCGAAATAAAAACCGATTAAAAATCCACTCTATCACTTAAAATACGTCCAATCCGACGGTGAAATCAGTTTTGGAGGTTAGAAAACAATTTTGAATTGCAAACAAAAGATGAAACACTACAAAATTCGAATGAATGCATGAAATAAATAAAAAAACCAAACCTCTTCGCGTTAAGCATACAAGTAGAAAGCAACAGAACGGCAGGTGAATTACCACCACCCGAACCTGTTCGTTTCCGTTCATTTGCCGAATACACTGCTCGTGATTCCTCATAAGTTGCTCCACCAATTATGAATACTATCACATTATCAATTCGATTGCTACAAATCATTTATGCGAATTTGAATAAACAATAATAACAACAATAAGTGACGAATGAATGACTACTACTCCAAAAACAATAAAATCAATTCAACGAACCTATGTGCCGCAGTGACGTGTGGATATGCAGTTTCGGAAAGACGTCCTTTAGCGATCGAATCAATTAGTTGACATAGATAAGGTTCGTGTTGGGTGTAGATATTCTCGACTCCTTTCAAGCCTTTTATGATGCGCTTCGTCATCGCCATCGCACTACCACCGAATAAGTCATTCTGACGGCGCGATGCACCCGCAAAGTCCAAAACCGCTCTTACGGCCTTAATTCTAACTCATTGATTCATGAAATCATTACACTCCATGAAATCTATTCTTGTCACAGATGCAATGTTTCAGTCTAAACAACAGTACGTTTCGTTTCAGTGCTAAAAAAAGGCATTTAGTTGATATTTTCGTGAAATTATTCAACTTCACTCAAGATAACGAAACCATGAAGGAATTATAAAGGTAGTTTTTCGTAGCAAAATGAACATTCACAGACTTGAATGAACGAACAGAAAACGTACGCTGATTAGCCGTGTGTTTGACGTACGACGTTTCAAGAGTTGAACAAGACCACTGATATCGTTGTTGGTGTGTGTTTCAAATCGGAGCGCATACAACATCACTAATCGACACGCATCCTCAAAGAACACAGATTTTATAAACCGCAAATTTATGCTGCAAAATCTCACAGTCATTCACAAGACTTCGATTGCTGTGTGCATTATCATAAGTGTTGAACTAAATAATGAAGTTTTCATTTCAACAATCCGAATTAAATTATTTCATGTCCAATAAACAAATTACTCATTCAATTACAATTAAACTGAAACGAATACATAACCATTAGTAAAATTTGCAAAGTCTGTCCTAATGTCAAATCAAACAAAATATGGAGAAATTTTTGGCCGAAGGAAAGATGCGAAGCCAGGATATGTTGTAACACGTTATAAAAGTTAATGAATCAAGAAAAACATACAATATCAGTGATATGTTGGTTTTGCAGCAACCGTCGTATGTCATTCAAACAATGCGAATGCTCACCATCACATGCAACTTGCTGCTCGACCTCAGATACTTCAAGAAGGCTATTCGACGAAACAATTCGTGATAATTCACCAACAACCATAACATGCTTCGATACGGTTCCTTCAAGTTCCATTCTTTCAAAATTTATTTATTCATAAATCCTTAAATCATAAAAGATCCTTAAATTTTTACGCACAAAATTCATAATAACTTTTCGAAAGAAAACTTTGAGTGTCATCGATCACTCGCTATTTCACTATCAAATTCGGGTAATACGTCTTCAGTCAAAACAGTTGAATGCAATATTTAAAACAACTCAAAATTCAAAAAATCCACCAACCAGATATTTTCCTGAATTGTGGATATTGCTCAACGAAGTTTTTCATATCGGCAATAGATTCTAATTTCTGATTCGTTTGTGCTTTTCGTTGAAAATCAGTCATCAATTCTTTAATATTCTGTCCAATTTCACCGAAATTTGCATACATATTCTAGAACGTTACAAAACATTGCTTATACTTGTAAAGGGGCTCACGTTTATGAATGTATGATCAGTGAGTGCATAGTTAAGCAACGGAACAGCGAGTAAACATATTCAAAGAGCTATTGAAAACGACCGAAGAGATCCACGAACCTTCGCGTAAAATGTGTCCTGCATTGGTGAGAGAAGAACAATGCCAGCATCTTGAACTGATTCCATATTGACACGATGATTTCTTATTCCCAGCAGTTCATGCACCTCAAATGAAACATTTC